ATCTTTTAAAACATTACAATTGTGTTTAGGAGACTGAAAGACGTTATTTTTTATTACAGTTCAATATTGTAGTCAATTTATGATAGAGACAAAGAAGGATGAAAGCACACAGCTGTGAATATACTACTTGACGATGAACAAATGTACCAATATGAATACATATGATCTTCCATGTATTTACAAATGCTTTGACAAGAAGGCGATACAATTTCATACAATATGCTTGAAATCCGGGTACAGCAGATGTATATGAATGAGATGGATACAGAGAAAACAGGATTTAGTACACCTGAAACTCAGTATTAGTATGACAGGTAAAAAAGTGGGTTCTAGTGCATTATGGAGAAGTACGTGGACTACATGACCAGTTTGGATGTAAGACAAGATGGCATTGTTGTGTATTCTAAACACTTGTGCAGACATAAGCGGGTGTTACCGAAGCTAGTGAAGGTAATCATTAAATTTAACCAAAACATTTAGGTTTAACAACATATTTAACAACTGCATTGTCACGACCAATAATAAACCACTCACAAATGACAAGGACGAGTGCTGACACGTTTGGATTGATACTGACGTCTTGTGATGTGGTCACAGTACAATTTTAGCTGCGGTACAGACCTGGTACGCACAACAGTGATGCGGTTGGCCTGCCCCAAAAGCCACAACAAAAATATATTAAATAAAACATTTTTCATTAATGCTAACCCGCAGTATAACGCAATACCACAACAATAACTCCTGTTATTATATCATCAGGAACAGTGATACTGTAAATATTTTTTAACTGGATAACAAACATAATTTAATTATAGTACGCTTTTTAAATACATCTACATACAATCACAAATCACAGTGTGTCAATCACTAACATTACGCGGAATCCAACAACTACACAATCACTGCCACCTTAGTCATCTGCACCGAATAGTCCATGGATTACTAATCATGCCACTGAGACAAGTGTCCGGCTTCCCGAGTCATTCGCTGGAGTCAAGTGCACATATCACTCAACGTGCAATACCGTGAGTTTTGAGCAACCAGTCACCATTACGTAATAAGGCCACCAAAACCCAGACTTTCGTCTCTAACAAACAGTAATCTGAATTTCAAATGTGACGTTATGACAATAAAAACACAAATATGCACTAGTTACAGAAAATTAGTGACCACATTACTTTCGCTACTCCAATCCCCTAACGTGTTGTAGAAAGCACATGTAGTTCAGCCTTGACATTTATCCACATATTTATTCACCCGAATATCCAAATCACTTTATCCGTTCGTAATTCATTAGCGAAGTTCACTGCAACAATTGCAACAGCAGCTATTCTTTCAACAAATACAATGTCCAAACATGCATTTCAAATAATGAATACTCACGGTGTGATATTGCTCACCTTGTTTTCGTCTCATCCTAACATGGACCAGCGTCTCAAAACCAATGAAATCCAAAACCAGGCGCAGAGAATTATACTCAACTTGCTTTGGTTGCTTATATTACCGCAACTAAGTTCTAATCTGAGTACAGAAACATGCAGTGTTTCCATACTCTATACACCACCAATTTAGATTTTATTATTTAACAGATAAAAGAGCATTAATATAAAGAAACAAAACACATTTGCAATCGCTGCTATTGTGAAAATACGTATAACCTATAGGTTAACCATCGATACATTACGCATGTGATATCATTGTCGCTTACACTTTTTTGTTGCACAGACGCATTAACCGCGGTTGTATATCATTTAATTCTCGCAGTGAAATGTGAATAATGAGAATATATTGTTTTACAATCTAACGAATTGTTTAGGAACTGTTGACAGGTTATTCACTTGTTGATGTCGTTATTATCAATTGTCGCCATGTCTCATTATTTACAACACATAAATCATACTTATTATATGTTATCAGTTTGTACGGAAATGCGTGGAACATTTATTCACACAAATCTTTAAATACCTCTGTCGCCGCGGGGAAAAGCGTTTGAAAGTCGGATCGAATTACCATGATATTTTGGGTCGTAAAACGTCTTATCTTACTGACAGTAAATTATGCAGTGAAAATACAACTGAACTCGGTTCTGATATTATGTATTCAACAAACCCAGACAGCGTGAATGTCTTGTATGTATTGTATAAGAGGTTAATGGATTTTTAAAAGAGGATAACGTTTTACATATTAATTGTTCATTCAGCTAGCGATAAGCAAACGAGTTTGTTTCAACACAATTGAACCCAACTCTCATCCAGTTGATAGGAAATAATTCATAACTTACTACTAGTCTGCTTTGAACATATACATAACTTTTACAACGTATATACCAACTGTGTTGAGAAATTTATAACAACTTTTGATAACTCTGACAGTGTTTTCTGTTAATGACTACCTCTCATACATCGAGTGATGAGGCGCAGGTGTGGCATCTTTTAGACGGGTTTTAAAATCACCATTACCCCGAGAGTGAGATATGTACAAGTTTGTTTATTTTCAGTCAATATTTACCCAATTTATCACCTGAGGATCTGGGTATTTGCATTGACATTTTTTTTAAATACCGCATTATAGATGCAATTGTCTGGAGCTTTTGAATATATGAAATAATCACAATTCAAGTGGTGCAAAATAAGCATCCCTATCACAATACAAATTAAATGATTTTTTTTTGTAATCAATTTCCGCCAATTACTCTAAAACATGTCTTTTTCGCGAACATGTGTTTTTGCTGATTCGCTAATTTAAGATGTCGCTAATGACTTTATTATATATTCAAAACGGCCGCCAAACAACGTCTTTTTTCCCCACACACATACTTTGTAAACAACACAAAAAACGTAGCATGATAAATACACTTTATTGAAAAGCAAATTAATACAAACAATAAACGTATTCATTGTGGTCATTATTTCAACGAAAATAAATAAAAGAATTGATACTGATATATTATTACGGAAATTAGTAGTACTTAGTAATTTTCGAGTCCCAATATAAAAGGTCAATATTCTGGATGTAACCCGCTTTTTAAAATCCCCGTTGAATCCGTTTTTTTTTATAATTGCAAACAGAATCACTTGAAAGTTTTTCTTTGTTTTTATTGAGGTGATAACTGCGCATTTGTTTTGGCACACGACAGACTAGTATTGTGAAAACAGGAAATTAAACAATGACAAGAGAGATTCGCCAAAT